GTTTATAGGGTTTAGGGTTTAGAGGGCTTAGAGGGTTTTGGGTTTAGGGCTTCTTACAACATCAATCTTCAAGGCTTTCACAGCTTGCAAAGCTTCCCCTCGAAGTCTTGCGCCAAGTGGCCCCGTCATTTCATCGCTTGAAAAAGGCCCTAAACCCTAAACCCTGAACCCCTAAACCGCTAAACCCTAAACTCTAAACCCTAAACCCCTAAACCCTAAACCCTAAACCCCGCCTTGACGTACTCTACAAAGGGAGGTCGAGGTGTCGTTCCGGCAGCACCACACAGCAGCGCGGCCACGGAGACAGCGCGAAAGCTAAGCATCGCGACCCTTCTACGTCCTTTCTGCTTGCTACTTCTTGGTATCCTGGAGGGAAACTGGCCAAGAGTCGCACTACAAGCGGCGATCATCATGATAATTGTCATGACTATCATCATCATTCGTAATTTCATCGTCGCCATCATCATCATCAGCATCATCATCAACAACCACAGTTTTCTGTCGGAGTGGCAAAAGCAAAAATCCCATGACCTGATCCATTGCTAATGCGCTTCTGTTGGGATGCCTATTGCAGCAGTCCGACGAAGACGACTTCATGTTGCTGCTATTGTCGTGGTTATTGGTCGTCGTCGTGGGAAGGTAGCCACCGCAGCAGCACGGCAGCAGGCTGTTCTATCAAGCACAGCTAACTAGCTTGCATTGTTGACACGACGAACCGTTGTTACTGGACTCGTGAACATCTGAAACTTCGAGCAATGCACTGGCCCTGCATATTTGAGTGTTCTATCGATCAAGACACGAAGCTCACGAACTTTACTTAGACACAATGCTGTGCCTAACAGTGTGCAAAAGCTTCGTTCCAGGGGCCCGGCCACCTGTTTAGATGGTCACGTTCCTGACGTCAATGGCCGAGGTTCCTTAGAGGTGAGAGCCTAAACTAAAAAACCCTAACGGCAGCGAAGCTTTGAACATCTGTCCTCGCAGAGACCCGGACCTCTCAAACCTAAACCCCTAAACCCCTAAACCCCTAAACCCCAAAACCCTCATCCCTAAACCCCCCCCAGAAACCCCTAAGCCCTGTAAACCCCTTAACCCCTAAACCCTACACCCCAAAGCCCTGAAACCTTCTCGGAGGCTCTCATCCATTACACGGCCAAGCTCCCAGGACTCCCCCTTAAGGCCGGAACGCCTGCACCCAAAACTAGTGCAGGCGCTGCAACTCAACAGTTAGACTAGGGTTTTGGGCTGAAGTAAGGCAGGCGTATATACGTATACACCTGTATCTATATCTATCCCTGTATGTATGTATATATAGTATGTATGTATATATAGATAGATAGATAAATAGATAGATAAATAAATAGATAGCTGAGAGCGTTAGTGGCTGCTACTGCATCCGAGCTCTGTAGTTCAGGGCACATTGTTGCTTAGCTCTGAGGTTTTCGGGTATCGGATTTAACGGTGCCTGCATCTGTCGATGTAGCCTTGTGCTTCGGATTTACAATAAGGAACCCCCAAAATAGTATAGGTAACCATAAAAGCCCCTATCCAAAGTACCCGAATATTGGTTCCTTTGGATTGGACCCTTGGGGCTATATCGACACATGAAAACCCATGAATGAACCCCTTAACCCGCCTCCCTCCTCAGAACTTCCAATAGCGCCACATGGAACCTCCAAGTCCCATCAAATCCGTGTAAACCCTCACCCAGTCCTTACAAAAGGGTTCTGGGGGTTCCTTATTATAATTATAGTAGAAAATACCCCGAAACCCTATTCCAATTATTAAGGCCCCTATATTAATTACGGAAGGAGGCAGGAGCGATCCAGACGACGATGTGGACCACAGCCCTGTTTTCTGCGGCACGACGGAATGCATCGGCAGCGCAAGAAGCGCAGAAACACCGACACCATCCAGCAGGACAAGGCTTAGGGCCTATAGGTTTAGGATTTAAGGACTTTGGTGGGTCGGGGCTTAAAACTATTTTGGTCTTTGGTCTTGTTCTGCTTGTAGCTTGGGCTCGGCTGTCTACGGCTTGCATGTGGACGGAGATACCCAGGGGAGCGGTCTTTGTGAGTCTATACGGCTTAGCTGAACCCCATACTTAGGGCTTCTGATCGTGGCTTCCTTCGCAAGGTTGGTTCGGGTAGGGTTGAGGGTCTAGGTTTAAACCTAGGGTTTAGGGTTCGAGGGGATCTTAGGGTTTAGGGTTTAGGATTTAGGGTTTAGTGTTCCTTGAGCCCCTCATACCACCAAGAGAAACTGGTTCGGCCAGGACGAAGGCTCGAAGCCATGCTCTTTTGGCTTTGGGTTCGGGGCAAAGGTTTAGGGCAGGGTCATAGGGTTTCAAGGAAGGGTTTGTGTTGGGGCCTGCATCATTAGACTGGCTTTTGGAACCACACACTCCTATCACTAAACCCTAAACCCCAAATCCTACTGTCTCTAGATCCCCACTTTCCCGCCATGGCCCAAAGTGCCCACTATAAAGGACTGAAAGGGGGGTCTACGTCCTCGGAGACCCCTGGCTTGGGCTGTATGATATAGCGTAAGAAATATAATATGACATAAGAAATAGCATGCTATAGAAGCTGAACTGGTCTACTATGACATAGATATAGCATGCTACAGCATCTAAACTTAGTATACTATGACAACACCAGTATACTATGACAAGGCTTTTGTGGCTTTTCGCTGGCCTTCCGCGATCATCAGTCTGGGTACCCCAGCTCCTCCACTCCGCTGCCTTCGGCGAGCTGAATCCACCACGTTCAAGAAACATTAGGGTTTAGGGTTTAGGGTTTAGGGCCGTTTAGGGTATCAAGAAACCCATGCTATCCACCAGGGTTTCTATGCTTTTGTTGAAGCCCCGTTTCGTCCCTACAGTCTCCACACTGTCACCGTGGACACAGACGGCGATGCTGCGGATTGTGCTCCGTAGCCGTAGTCTTTCTGTTAGCGCAGTATGGTCAACGTACTCATCGCATCGGGCACGGCCCTGTAGCCATACACCATGCTGCAGTTCTTGCTGGATTGGAATACTGAACCCTAAACCCTAAACCCTGTCATCAGCTGTGAGGGGAAATCTATGTGCTGCGCGATGGGTGACGGAAGCATGTGTAAGAGTTGAGTCTAGCAGACCGAGACTGAAAAGTGCAAGGGCAGGTTGTCTAATGTAGGGGCCGTAATAATAATAATTATTATTATACTTATAATTATAGTTATAATTCTAATAATAAGAATAAAAATAATGATAATTAGAATAGGGTTTTGGGGCCCATTTTAGCATAATTCTAATAAAGGAACCCCCCAAAATAGTGTTGGTAACTACTTGGCCCCCTACGTTATCATGAGTATGCGTACGTAGCTGGGAGTAGCGGTTTGGTTGTAAGGCTCTACACCGGTCCCACACCTCGGCAAGCATGGCTTTCAGTCCGACGGATTGCTGGTGGGTTTCGGGTTTTAGGGGTTTTCTCATAGGCTCCATAGTAGTTCCTTTTTGGGATTACATTATAGCATCCTAAATACAAACCACAAAAAGGAACTACTATGGAGCCTATATGGGTAACATGATTCTATCCGAAGGTTTACAGTAAGGTTTTGGGCTTCAGGATGTCTTGATCTCGTCGGTTCATCCTCAGGAGGTCACAGGAAAAGCAACGAGTTACTAGTAGGCTTACTCTCATAACGGTGATTGCTAGAGTTACAGTCGCCGATTCACACGAAAGATAGAGCAAAGCCAGCCGGAACTTCTTACGGGAGCTCTGTCTGTGAGAGGCGAATTAGGCTGCACCTTCTTGCCGAAGTTGACGTGGCCTGGCAGCCGGGGCCGCAGAGTCGAATATGGGGGCCGTAATAATTAGAAGAGGGTGTTGGGGTATAGTATGCTATAAATGTAGTAAGGAACCTCCAAAATAGTATAGGTAATTGCTTAGGCCCCTATATTAGTTTCGGGTCTTGCATGCCCAACCGCTTGGGGGCCGGCAGTTGCGGGAGTGCGGATGCTGCTACCTGGGGTGCCCAAACAACATCCCTTGCAACGCAAGAGGTTGTAAAAGGTAAAAGGCAATCCGAAAACGGAGCCCGAAAGCTTGTAGGCTTTTCTGTGCTACAGGTAACCCTGAATGAAAGGCCTTGCCTAAACCCTGAACCCTAAACCCCTGTAACCCTAAACCCCTGGTGTCATGACTCCGCGCTCAACTCAACAGTCAGAACTCGAGCTCACCGCGCCTTCCCAAACATCGTGCATCAGTCTCCTAGGCAGGCTCAAATCACACAGGGGACGAACAAAAATACCAACATTATTCCTTACCCATAGGCTCCAAAGTAGATCCTTTTTGGGATTACCTTATAGGATCCTGAATACCAACCACAAAAGGAACTACTATGGAGCCTATGGGTAGTGTTCCTTATTATAATAGGTACTATACCCCACAAAAACCCTATTCAAGCTGTTCAGGCCCCCAGATTAGGTAGGGCTGGGTCCTGTAAGAGAAAGGTTGGCGGCAGCTCAGCACCAGTCAGATGTATATGAGGCCTTGCTATATTTACGATGTATATATTTTTTTATCTATGCATTATTTATTGATCCATGTATGTGTTTATATTTACTTATACATATACATACTGGGAAGCTCAAATGCTTTTCTTGTGACGACTGGGAAAATCATTGAAACGACGTCCTGCAATATAACGGATCACGTATAACTAAGACAAGCCACATGTGCACGTTCCTCCTGCAGCAATCAGCAGATGCATGGCTAAAGACACCGTTCTGGATGTCTGGATGTATCCCCTCCCCCTGCCCCCCCGCCTCCCCACATTCACGGATTTCCCAGCCCCTTTCCGTTTAAGAATGTCACCAAGCACTAAGTCCTGGAGGATGGCCTTGTTGCTTCTTGTCGGGTCGTGTCAAGAGTTTGGTCTTTGGACGCTCCTGCCTGCCCTTTGATGAGAAGCCACTGCGATTTGCAGAGCCAGGTTTCAAACGACATGGGAATCAAGAGAAAATCCACACCCCCTCACACTGTCTTAAGCCGTGCTCGCGCTGTTAGGCCCTCACTCCAGATCCGGCAAGGTTTGTCGGGGTTCGATAGCTGGGACACCTCGTTCTACCACGAAGCAGCAAGTATACAACACTGACACCACATCTACGATATGCAACATGCTCTGAATCCGATCATAAATCGTGATCACCAAGATCGATAGGAAAGCTTTGAATAAAGCCACCGGCAATTCAATGCTATACGAATGACAGTGACTGTGAAAGGCATGACCATAACCATACACAAGTCAGTAATGCCAGGAGTAGTCATAAAATATAATA